TCATTATGGGATGTTTTTTTTCTAAGTTTGAACACCAATTAAAAAAAATAAAACATGTACCTTTCTGTTGGGATAACCACTTTGACTATGGCTTGCGACAGAGTCTGTATATGAAGTCACATCAGATAATAAACATAGAATGTGAGTATTGTTACAAAAGCAACAAATTAAAAATATAAAAAAATGCATTTCAAAGTGCATAGAGACAACAACTTTCTTTTACTGCTGCCAGTTTTACTTAAGGCCAAAAATCCATGATACTTTACCACATTACCCATAAACACCCATCTATAACACAGACTAACATTTCAATATATTTTAGATACAGAGCAACTAGTGAAACTCAATCAACATAATAAATCTACAACTTAAGACTATGTGTAAAACCTGTACTGACTGTTTATACCAAACATCTTACCAGCACAATTTTTTTTAAATCACTGCCAGATTCCATATAATCTTTGACAGACATATTAAATTACCTTCTCAAACTCCTCCTTGTTCTTCGGTGGAGGAAGCATGGGAGCATTTGGGTTTTTTAGCCTCTCCCTGGGCTGTGCGTTGAAGGGTAGGCCAGAGGGAGGAGGTGGGAGAGTATGCTCCATCATAGAAGGTGGAATATAGATGGGATGTGGTGGAATGGGCACACCTTTGCCCCACCCTAATTTCATCTCAAAGTTCATTATCATTTTTCCTGTAATTTCAAAAAACACACAGATTATGTAGACATGAAAGCGCTGAGGGGAAAAAAGAGCAATGTACAACTTATTTAACGAAAGAATTACCATTTAGGTTCTTGAGTGCTCGCTCAGCATCTCTCCTGTTCATGAATGCCACAAAGCCACAATTCCTCTCCCGAGCTCTCTCCTCATCTGTCCGTGGCCACATGATTTTCACACTGGCTAGAGGGCCATAACGGCCAAACTCTTGACACAACATCTCCTCGTTCATCTAGATTGATTTTGAAGAAAATATACAATTTTCAGTGTAAGGATAATGCACAAAAAATTAGGCCATAAGTAGTATATTTAGTAAGATTTAAAGCATGAGTAAAGTTATAAGTCAGGCCTCGTTCTACTTGTCTCCTTTGCATTCAATATACGGTAAATTTAGATAGGAAGTTACCTGTGGATTGATGTTTCCAAGATACAAGTTTGTAGTGGAAGGGTCACCGACATCATGGGAACCCGGGGCGCTGTCATCCAAAACTGCAGACACAGAAAAGAGAAAAAAGCTTTCCTGTTGCTCTCTGGCACAACAACTGGTTTTCTCAGCAAGCTGAAGATATTCACAGTCACTGTATTGAGTCAAAATTACCACTGGACGGACGGTTTCTTCTTGAAGAACCATCCGCTAAAAAAAGCAGAAAAGCAGTATAAATTTTGTTTCAGGGTTAAGGGGGACGAAAGGGTAGGGAGTGGTGTAAGGGGTGTTGGACAGGGACATTCCAGGTCAAGTTAGTACACTGAAGACATTTATGTCATTTAAATGTACTGACATGAGCGTTTTCCCTCCATGCCGGGCAGAGGTTCAAAACGACTGACACGTCCTTTCATCTTGTGCCTTTCATTCCTTTCTTCCTGGATCCTGAAAAAAAATGTAATTACATAATTCATACAAACAACTGTACTGTATGCACTTTTTACAGATGAAACGATTATAACTGTGCGGTAAAACATACTGTTTCAGTTCTTCTTTGAAGAGCTCCAAGTTACTCTTCTTCTTTTCTTTTTCACTACTTTTCTTCAAAGTCTGAAATACAGATATAAACAAATTATAAAAAAATGAAAAAGTATACAAGAGCAGCAACAATATATACAGTTTCCTGACATAGACAATACTTACATTTTTTTTGTCTAATGGTAAAAACTGAGATGGAGTCTCCAAAGGCAGGATGCTTTTTGGTGGGGCCTCAAAACGTGACTTAGGCTTGTATAACTTTCCTCTTTTTTCATCAGCAGCTGCTTCTTCTGTAAAGAGTAATTACATGGTGGCTCTTAATTTCACTCCAAATAATTGAATGTCAAAGGATAATGCCGACTGTTCTTTTGTCTAAACAGTTTCCATATCTAAAAAGCAGGAAGAAGCATGGAATACTAGATATGTTGTTTCTTTATATTTGACTTTAAAAAAAAACCCAACAACAATAGAGAAGACAAAAATGGCTTAAACTTTAACAAAACTAGGTCCAAAATCTTTGTTATTGCTAACACAAAATAATTGAATCTTTCTACCTGGTCTTGTTTTAACCAGCCTAAAATGTCTAAACTGAACACAATTTAAGATCACATGCACTACAGAAACCTCAGCTTTCAATTTCTTTACAGCATCCTAAACCACTAAATCTGCAAAAATGTTAGACTTATGTGTTTTGTCACTAATTCAAATGATTAGCAAAGCAATTAACCACACTATCAATCTTTTTCCCAGCCATTAATGCGCTAGATTAAAGTCAGTATTATACAATGTATTACGGTTTCATGCTGGATGCATTTCCTGGCGCAAGCTGGGCTCAAACATGTAGTCTCAGGATTATGAGACTGCAGCACTGAAAACAATTACTGAACACAAAACAGTTACCTTTTGTAGCATTTGCAACACCCCCACGGACAAAGGTCTTGACTTTGCCATCTGCACCTCCTTCGAAAGCAGCAAGAAACTCTTCATAGATCTCTGCTGCTGCCCGCTCATCTTCCTGAACCCAGAACAATTAACAGAAAGGGAGTAAATACAAATATGCTCAATACAGAGTCTCAGATTTGTTTAAATAAAACAACAATAATGATGAAAAGCACTTACCTTTTTCTTTATTTCATCTTGTTCCTTTTTGCTCAGGGTTCTTTTAGCCACAGTCATTTTTCCAATGCTGAAAGATTTCAGTTTGCTCTCAAGCAGCGCCTATTGATGTAAACACAAAGGTCGGCTTTCAACAAAAAGTTTATATCAGCTGAAATAACGCTTTGTCTTCATCAACAAATTCAGTATTCGTAAACTCCACTCACACGTTTAGCAATCTCAATGTTTATTTATTTATTTTTACATGTAGCAACAGCTGACTGTAATACCGCAACGCTGACAGATAAATGTGTTCAGAACCACTCTTAGCAATTAGCGCGGACTAAAAGCTTGCAAACGCTACCTAGACAGTCATTTCACATTCTCTGAGTGGAATTTATTGCATATTTTCTGATAATTATCGGATGGACCTTAAAATGAAACGGAGGCCTAACAGGTCGGTGCTTGAGCGGACTCGAACATGACGCCGAGCCGAAAAATGAGGGGCTAGCTTTGACATGAACTTGAAATGTAAATGTAAAATTAATAGTTTATAAATATAGATATCCAACACCAACTACCCTGCGCTGAAAGCAACATTAATCTTTATTTGGTGTCCAATTAACTACAGATTCATTTAATCCAAGGTGGTTGCGGTGACTAGTTTGTTAGCTTAGCTAAGCTAACCTGGCCGCGGCGGCGCTTTGCTAACATCGTTGCGCACACTCACGGCTGTGTTCTCGTCTAGGAGCTAATACGTAAACACTCCAAGTTTCTCACGGATGCAATAATCAACATGAATTTTACTGTAATAAAAAACAGCTTAACTAAAGCCAGAACAAACAGCACACTTCACCTTAGCGCTAGCTTTTTGAGAGCCAGGCGTTCGGTCCGCCATCTTTCGGTGAAACTAAACTAACAAATTGAACCCAGATAAATCGATGGGAACTGAATTGAAACTCCAGGACGTATAGTCGATTACCGAATCAGTGATGGCTTCCACTAGTTTTTTTTTTTTATTAAATAACAAAGAACACACAAAATAATACAATGTACAAACAATAAGGCGTATTTCAAACGAACAAACAAACTTGCATATAACAGAAAAGGATGGTGCAAATAAAGATAAGAAGTTTAAAAATAAGAAGGAACAAAAAAAGGCTGGGGTTCAGATGTTAAATCATACTCTTCAATTAAAGAGCACAGACTGTGGGCATGTTTAGTATGCATCACTTTAAGAGAATTGCAGTACAAAATAAAGTCATTGTGAAAATGATAGAAATTTGGTTTAACCTTAAGATATTTAGCTTTATGGATGAAAATTTTCCCCAGAATGATAATAGTGTTGATGAGAAAGTCACTGTTGTTATTGTCCATAATAAGTCCATAAATTATATTGTTTTCAGAGAACATTTGGAGACTGGGAACTTTGGGAAATAACCAGTCAAACATATCAGACCATAATGTTTCAACATACATGCATTGAAAGGATAAATGTTCTGTTGTTTCAGTATCATCACAAAAAACACAATTATTTGTTTCAATACCAAACCTCTGATGAATAAAATAATTAGATGGATATATTCCATTTAAAGTTTTAAAGTGGATTTCTTTGGCTCTTGGTGCAATTGGAAATTTGAGGTATTTAGTACGTAATTTATGGATTGATTGTGGTGGAAATTTTTGACGAATGGAATTTTTAAATGCCAGGGTGGGATAAATAATATGATCGAAAGTGTGTCGAATAATTTTATTGGAAAACTTGGAATCTTTGAAAGAGTAATTTCCAATTGATAATTGTGGTAAACATGGAACAATAGGTGAATAAGCCAATAAACCTGCAATTAAACATAAGACAGCTTTTGGAATGGCTTTGATTATAAGTTTATATGCTTTTTGATTTGTTTTTAGATTATGCTGTTGACACAGAGCATCATATGATAACAAGCAGCCATTACTGTTGCGTCAAAGTTGCGTCAAAGCCTTCAGCATATATGTGATCTATAGTGTTCATGCCTAAATGTGTAAGAATGTCAAACCACGCGTGGATAACTCCAGTCAAGTTCATTCATGCCATCTTCAGGTGAAGCATGAAGCTAATGCGAGACCCCACACCCTCCCTCCAGCGCTTCCATCCTCCCACCTCCCCGTGCTCCGTCCCTCCTACAGCGCAGAACAAACGCTATATTCATGTGCTTGAGCTTGCAGACTCTCCGCAGCAACACTTTCCTCCCAGAGTCTGAGCTGCTGCTGCTGATCGCCATGCCACGGAGCGACACCAGGCGCAGCGCGTGCGTTTACCCAACAACATGGAGGACTTGCGGGGTTTTTTGCGCATGGACTCTGCTGTTCCTGACAGAGGTCTGTGCTCAGTCTCAGCAGAGGTACTACTTAATTCCTCTAACTTTTTTATTTATTTATATTTTATATAAGACATGTTGTCCATTGGCGAGGGAGTTTTATTTCTGATGATATTCTCCCCCACATTTCTGTTCTATATTCTTATAAACCATCATATTAATTGAAAAATGTCCACTTCAGACCAACTTTTACATGTGGAGGAAACATCACAGGGGAGTCTGGAGTCATCGGAAGCCAAGGATACCCAGGAGTTTATCCCCCAAACACCAAATGTGTGTGGAGGATCACAGTGAGTCCAGTTAGATTTTTAGCTGTACACACTTGGCTGGAACTATTTGATTATTTTACTTGTTTGAAAATGATCATCTAATCCTTGATTGAAATCAAATTTTTAAAAGAATGTCACTGAATAAAGTCTACATACAGCTCTGTCATACACCTGATTCATTCTCCAACCCAGGTTCCTGAAGGCAGGGTGGTGGTATTGTCATTCCGCTTCATCGATCTGGAGAGTGACAACCTGTGTCGCTATGATTATGTGGACGTGTACAGTGGCCATGTCAGTGGACAGAGGCTCGGTCGCTTCTGTGGGACGTTCAAGCCAGGGGCCCTCGTTTCCTCGGGCAACAAGATGCTCATGCAGATGGTGTCTGATGCTAACACCGCTGGCAGTGGCTTCCTCGCTGTTTTCTCCGCTGCCCACCCTCACGAGAGAGGTAGGCAGGTAAACAGGGAACAAGGTCCCGGCGTGCTTTCTGATTTAAACATGTCAAAGACTGAAGGGTATCTGTTTGTGTTGTGTGTTCAATTGAGTTGTTTCAGAGTGCTCAGACAGAGACAATATATTTACCCAACAGAAAAATGATGAATTCAAAGCTAACATGAACTAAAAACTACTTGCAACTTGATATGGAGCAAAATTTTGGGAGGGGAGTTCAGCTCAGATGTATCACTTTGAGGTAAATGAGTCTTTTCCTGTCTGCAGTCTCATCTGCTGTGTGTTTAGTGGATTTCTAATGAATGGTTTCTTGTACCCAGCAAGCTCACAGCTGTAATGGACTCAGTCTGTAAACCACTGTGCCTGGTTCTCGCTTCATTGTGGTAAAAAGACATTGAAGAGCATCTTATCTGTAGAACACATTTGTTAGGCATCTCTTACCATGACTTTGTCTTCGGTCATCCTGGAAAAGAATCATTATTTGAAGTTCAGCCAAAAATAGCTTGTGTGTGACCAATAAACTGGAAACAGGGACATGACAGACTCTATTCAATAAAATAATGAAATCAGTGTTTTTGTAGTAACCGGGATGGATTTTGTTTCTCTTTTTTGGTCTTTACAGGTGACCAGTACTGTGGGGGCAGATTAAAAAAGCCCTCTGGGACTTTCCAAACCCCTAACTGGCCTGAGAAGGACTACCCAGCTGGTGTCACCTGCTCCTGGCATATAGTGGCACCTAAAAACCAAGTCAGTGGCTTAATGTTCAAACTTTTTTTTGTAATGAAAGGAAACCTGTTTTTATTCGTGTTGATTTATGTGCATCATGTTTTTAAAATGAAACACCTTTTTTAAACAACTACATGTGGTTTGCATTGTTCCAGTAATAACACAAGCTGAAGTGTGAGAGAGAATTTTCTGTCATTTGTCCGTCGCTGCAGATAATCGAAGTAAAGTTTGAAAAGTTCGACGTGGAGCGGGATAACTACTGCCGCTACGACCACGTCTCCATTTTTAACGGGGCAGAAATAAACGATGCCAAAAGGATCGGCAAGTTTTGTGGAGACAGCCCCCCAGCGTAGGTGATTTCTGTCATCCTGAAAGTCTTTTTGTCCATCTTGTGACTTTATCCCCAGCTCATGCTAAGTCTGCTTTGCGTCCCTGTGTTGCTTTATAGGCCGGTATTCTCAGAGGGGAATCAGCTCCTGATCCAGTTTCTGTCAGATCTCAGTCTAACTGCTGATGGCTTCATCGGACATTACAAGTTCAGACCGAAGAAATTCCCAACCACCACCACACCGCCCCCCACCACCACCTCACAGCCAGTCACCACCAGGCCAATACGTAGGTAGCCATTTGATTCCTACAAAACCACCAGAAGACTTAAGATGTAACAAAATTTAGTCTAAAAGGTCAACTGAAAAATGATTTTGAAGCAAATATTAACCATTCAGAGTGTTTTCTGTGACATTAAGTCAAAAGAACACAATGTACCGGTGGCTGAAAGCCCCATAAAGGATGCAGCTTGGCCCTTGTTTAAATATATGTGCTAAAAAGTGGATTTGCCCACATTTTACCTGTGCAAACTGCACATTAGATAAGTTATCATGCTGTGTGGTGTGTCTGCACCAACAATCACAGCTCATTTTCATACTCTAACACTCATGTTCCCACACTCTGTTGCTCTTTCCTCTTAGTCAGGCCAGGGTCTTGTGGTGTACCCCCCACCCTGCCATGATGTCATGACTCTGCTTTCTGGTTATCTTCTTCGCCTTTTCCCTCTCCACTAAGAAAATATTTAGTTAGTCACTTTATATTTTCTTTAAGCCGTTAGTCTTTCCTTTATGAGCCATTTGTAACTTGAAAAACAGATGTTCTCTTGTCTCAGATTCTTCTTTCTTTTTCTTTAAAACGGACAGCTATTTGTTTTAGAGAGACTATTGTGTTTCTGAGAATATCCAGTTTAGAAACCACAGCAGGAGCAGATTTAACCATAACTTACATGACTGCATCAATAGCGGACAAAATTAGAGAGTAAAATGTTCTTGTGCGTGTGTGTGTGTGTGTGTGTGTGTGTGTGTGTGTGTGTGTGTGTGTGTGTGTGTGT